CCTTTAGCTGCAAGCGTCGTACATTTGTGAGCAACAGTGATTAATGGTGTTGTCCTATACGATATATTTATAACACCAACTGGTGTTTAAGCAACACGTCTAGTTTTTGGAATTCACTGTCGCTCTTGCGTATTAGCAGTTCCGGAATGTTGTAAATGTTGCGGATGGTATTATTAAGTGCTGTCTCTTTTATATCGTATAGACATATAGTTAATGCAACATATATGTTTCTCAAATCTATACGACTAATAATTCTAACAACCAGCGATTGGCGTATTAAGACACAGATAGGGGGCATCTGGCATACGTAATACGAGAGACTGCATATTAAAGTTGATTGGGGATGGCCATGTTAATTGGTTAGTACAAATCTCGGCTCAAAATAATCTGTGGATGTTGTTTCCAATTTCCGTGGTCCACTTCGGATGTATTATTGATTCAGAGCTGAATGCTGGCGTGTTTCTTTCATCATCATTATTCTTTGTTCTGTGGTGAGATATATTATACTTTTTCCGGCGCTTTTTAAAGGTGTTTCTCTAAACATAATTATTAAAAGATATAAATTTGGGTTGCATCTTCCCATCGTACACCTTGTGGCTTAAACACTACGCATGTATAATATGAACGAAAAAACACACCTTCCAAACTGTTACATTTGAACTATTGTATTTGTGTTTTTGTTTAATCAAACGGTATAATTTCAACTTTTGTGGTGGTATCTCGTACAGTATTATGGATTTGCTAATGTGTTGTTTAACGTCGTAATTTACGTTGATTGTTTGAGTAGATTATATTGGGTTTAGGTTAATACTGGTCACATCAGGTTCAGTTATAATAGGTTGGGGTCATAATTATTTAATTATCATTTGATTAGGTCGAATGTTGTTGGGAATACCAAGTGATGTTAAATTAAAATCATAGCACAAACACTAGTAAACTAGTTTGGATTTTGCTTCAGTATGAATAAGGTGTATATCATACTGTATATTATCATGCAACTTCCAGGTATCAGTAGTGTGATTTAATGTTGTTATTTTTTGATAATTAACTTAATTAGTTTATTAGTGTTCTGTGAATACGTTTTGAGATGATAATATTGTATGTCGCGTGTACGATACGTCAACAGTGTTGTGATAATATTGTACGGAAGACGTTCTAGGTCCTCGTAAACCTCAAAATGGTTGTAGTTAGTGGGTTAACTAAATCCAGGGCTGCGCACACTGTTCTTTCATGCACACATATTATTTGGGCGTGAGTCTATTAGTGTTTATACCTTTGTTTGTACATGTATATTTAATAAATTACCGTCTTAGTTTCTGCCTATATTATCGAGAAGTGTTTTTCCATCTACACATGTCCGTTTCTTTTACAGAAAAGCTGCTCTTCAAATTTGTATAAAAGCCTCATAAATTGATGTTAAGATCTCTGTGCATTTGGTATCGTGTCTTATTCCTCATTTGTTTCAGCATTGCTCCCTAGATACTTGCTTATTAATTCTTGCCTTGGTATTTGTAATTTTGGAGTAGACGATCACACGTGGAGATTAGACTTTGATTGTGCGTGTACCATTCCAGATGCCATCTGAACATTTCCATTTAGATACCGCTCGACAGATATAGTACATTACCTATTGAAGCATTGATAATACCGATAATTGGTTTAAGGTGGTTGTCTGACACTAAAATAGGTCACTGGATTCCCTTGAATTTTACGGTGTGCTTTTATTTAATGCGACTGACAAATCCCAGATGACAGGGTAGGTATGGTCACCGAACTACTTTTCGTAATTTTGAGCAATTTACCGTTACTTTGATAGAAATACGTCATATTTATATATACGTAGATAGTGGCCTCCACGAATAACTTGATATTCTGATTTGTATTGTTTATATAAAATAATGATTTAACAAAGATTTCTATAGAAATTGTTCTAAAATTGTCTTGTCTCGAGCAGTTTTCCGGGCGAGTTGTGTTCAAATTAATTCCTCGGCAATGTTGCATCAGGTGCACTTTAACTGATGTAACTCACAATATTTGCCGGCAGAAATGCTTACTAAATATACATATGTCTCCTATACAATCTATGATGTGCTTAAGGATGGTAAACTTGTGTATTCAATTTTGAACTTTGACCTGCATGGGCAAACAAATTGCAAATAATGCATAAAGTGCACCAAATTATTTATAATAGTGAAATAATATAATATGATGTACAATCAAGGGTTTATGTTCGTTGGCATTTTCCTTTCAACTATGAACCTGACAAGCCTAACCAAGCCTGATATGTGGGAAGAGAGTATTCTATTTCCCTGTTTAACGGTTGAACGCGCAAACTTCTGAATCTGGGCGGACAAGTTAACCAGTTTGCCACCATCACCTTAACTTCATAAAAACGTCTTCTATGGTAAACACTCTCGGACTAGCAGTCTGCCTGAAAATAATAAATAATCATAATGAAGAATCACATTTTTATTTCAAGATAATTAATTAATAATACATAATGTAATACCTATCATACATATCTTTCAATTTGAAATATTTGTTAATATGTCCACCTAGTCAATGACTACACGCTATTTCAAGCTTGTTAGTGTGTTCCCATTGCCAATATTATGTCAGGAAATTACCCTAGAATGTATGAAGTTATATAACCTATCCATTGAAGTGAGTTTGCGGGTAAGCCAGATATAAAAAAATACGATAACATGTAAACCAGCTGCAAAATTATCGTATATACACAATAACACACGTGCAGTACTACACTGAACACACTCTTCTCGTTATACTGGTTGTACATATCTAATTCACATGGTAATTTCACTGCATGTTCAATCCGAAAGGAAGAAGATGAATATAACCAATAGTATGTTCGGTCATATATTTAAATGTTATCGCTCAGGTTGTCAATATTATTAAGAGTGTCAATGTTATTGGTCAAAAGTACTCACATGATATTGACATTGGCCTCTGCACATTTCCTGGATTGTTGCAGACGATTACAAAATGGGTGACAACTTAAAATGCGCGTCTTCACGGGAGCTTAATTTTAGTTTTAACTGCTAAAGTATTCGTTTTACTGTACATGAATTTCACCGCACACTTACTGTCTCGTCGCTGTCTTTGTCGAGTTGATAAAACAGATAGTTTATCGATTGTCGATTGTATTTTTTGAAATTATGTCTATTGGGACGATTTTACTTATACAAATGCTACTGCTAACAAGGCACTACTCGAATAAGCCTCGCAATGCCAAAATACGGAAGCGAATTTGCGCCACCGCTCGGTGTATCTCTAAATAATGTATGGTATGGTAGTTCCATTCATTCAACCGAAGTTATTATATATCGTGAGACTGGTCAAATCTCGTGATATACTCGCCTCTTGGGGTGATTATTCCTTAATTTTACGTGTGGTAATTTAAATGTATGTAGTCGCATCATTGTACAATAGTACCAAGACAACGGTAATGTACAAGAAGATAGTTATCCTTATGTGCGAACTTGTCAGTTTCTCGCATCGTGAAATATCGTTGTGGTTTCAAATCAGCTTCCCATACTAGAATAAATTGAGAGATGACAATTCTTGATATCGGCCCCAGGCGAGGCCAATAACTAGTGACTTTTTTTGGAAACCATCCAGGGCTCAATCCCACTTTAATAGGTCGAGCTATGTCATTACAATTACATATTTTCGTACCTCACTACAGGGCAACAGTAAACACATACACATAAGGTGATTTGAGATTTGTGATAGTAATTATATAGTAATAATATATTTGTATAAGCTATGACAAATGAGAGAAGTTTCTCTTTAAACAATTCTTTTTATTCTCAACTACAGTAACTGAAGTATATATTAAAAATGTTAATATTATCTTACACTCAGCAATCAGTAATGATTCCGCTGCTATCTCTTTTATTGAGGTCTCACTCCTAATCATCGGAGCCCATTGTAATTGGCCTGAGGTATATTCATTTCATAATATATAAATGTGCGTTTCTATGAAACGAGTGTGCCGAAAGGTGCGTCTTAAGGCAATGTATAATTAGTACTCACGGGATAAACAGGGATATTGTATTGACCGCTATTGTTACGTTCTGAGTTTATTCACAGGTTATTTTATTTTTCACTGACCTTGAATCTAACGCGGTTTAAAAGGAAATCCAGATCACATTCCCCTCTATCCCTCTATATAGGGACTGTGTCTAGATCAATATATTTACACAATACTGATTTTTGGAGGTACAGCAGTATAGTTACCAAAAATTACAAAATAATTGAATAACAATGAAAGACAAAAGTGTACACAAGTTACATTTACAAATTACACGATTTACTGGCACATAAGAAAGTACTCCGAAGACTCATTATAGAGAAAGATTTGGTGTTATTGAAATTAGTTGTACGTGTAATATTCAAATCGAATTTATATCCTTCTATTACTTAAGACACGCGCGCGTTAGCTTTTAAACCGGTGTGTTGGGTTTAGTAATCCGACGAGATTCAATTTTTAAATTGTGATTTTCTAATCTAACTTACTCAGCTGTTCACGCAGTTCAATATCGTCAATGTTTTTGTGTATCAGAGCTGTTGCTTGTACGCTGATTAGAGACCTTGTGTTCGCCTTGATTCTAGGACTATTATATAGTCAGTATGGAGGTTTAATGCTGGTGACAGTGATATTTATTGACTATTCAAACTTTTCTTTCTGATCAATTTCAGAGGGTTGTAACTGGCGAAGATAACGTACCATGAACTGGATTATCACCTTGACCCGCTCGAAGGGATTTTTGGAATAATGAGAAAGTAATTATGTGCGATATTTTAGGTTGTCGACAATGCAACACGTGTACGCCCCGAGGTCTTTGTTAAATTGCGCGACATTTAGCTGACGTTTTCTTAGATAGTGTATTTTTCAATAATACGTCATTGATTTGCATATAAAATCGGTTGGGTTAGCTAGTACAACCGCTATCAGTCATTCGTAGGAAAAGTCAATGATGGCAAGCTTTATCAGAGAGTCAATGCACGTAAGCCTCGTGCATCTCTCGATATTGCTTTGTGGCGTCTTCATTGTGGTCCCAGTTCTTGGACATCACGTCCCTGTGTTAACTGACATACGCTATGAGAAAGATGGTGATATCATCATCGGTGGGTTGCTGAATTTACATATTTTTGACTCGAACAGAGAGTGTGTAAAGTTAGATTCTATTGCTGCCATACATCGTGTTGAGGCTATGGTGTATACTATTGAAGAGCTGAATGCACGAGATGATATATTGCCGCAAATTAATATCGGCTACCAAATTTATGACAGTTGCGTTTCTGAGGATGTCACCTTAGCGGCTACGTTGGAACTGCTCCGCAACATCAGTGGTTGCAACGGTGAGATTGGTCAACAGAAACTGAAGGGTATCTTGGGACCACGACGTAGTTCAGTCAGCGCTGCAGTGAGTCGAGTGTTCGGTTTGCACCATATGCCACAGATCACATATATGGCCACGAGTGATGAACTTTCGGACAAAAATGCCTTTCCATACTATTTCCGAGCCGTGCCTCCCGATCGCTTACAAGTGAGTACGATGATAGATTTGATTCGACATTTTGGTTGGACGTATATGTCCTTGATTAACACGGACGAGTCATATGGACGAAACGGAGCTAAGGAAATCAAACGACAAGCATCTATCTATGATATATGCATCGCTTCATCACAAGAAGTGTCACGTTTTTCTACTGATCAACAATTGGATCAGATAGTGGGGACCTTGATAAAGGTTTCTAAAGCCAAAGTGGTTATCATGTTTTCCGTCACATACATGGCTAACCGCGTCTTGGATGCTGTTAAACGCTCAAATGCAACACGGAAGTTTATCTGGATTGCTAGCGACGGGTGGGGGTACAATCTTGCCGCGCATGACAATGAGCACATAGCGCTTGGTGGCTTCTTTGTGGAGTTGTACAACACTAATTCATCCAATTACGAAAATTATTTTAAGACAATTTCGCCAAAGACTTCGAAAAATCCGTGGTTGTATGAGTACTGGCAAGAATATTTGAACTGTAGCGCTACTGAACAAGAACAGTGTGATGAACAGTACGTTGAGGGTTTCAGTTCCAAGATGGGAATTTCTGCTGTAATCGACGCCGTTTATACATACGGTTATGCTTTGGAAAACATGAGACAACAAGTTTGTGGATTATATGGTGGTGCGTGTGAACAGTTCTACCTGTCTGATGGACTGGATCTCCTACCGTTTCTTCAAAATACAAGTTTTAACGGAACGAGGGGGTTAGTACAATTTGATCAAAACAATGACCTGATGGGAAAGTATGTAGTTAAAAATTTACAATTCAACAATGGAAAGTATGAAAAGGTGCCGGTAGCAATTTGGGATGCATTGGCTGAAAACAAACTGACCATGCTGCAAGAGCAGGTTCATTGGTCTGTTCCAATGGAAGGCGAGAAATGGCCAAGGTCTGTCTGTAGTGAACCATGTGCACCAGGGCATATTTTCATACCACATGGTGATGCCTGCTGTTGGGATTGCTTTCAGTGTAGGAACAACGAAATCACAATACTAAACAACACAGTGTGCCATCCATGCGACAGCCTTCGTTGGCCGAACGATAATTTCACCAAATGCGATGCGATTCCTCCGACTTATATTAAATGGGAAAACGCGACTGCTGTAACTTTGCTCGTTGTAGCTACCGTAGGCCTAGCCGCCTCCTTCATCACCTTACTTGGTTACGTTCGACACCGAAACAAACCACTGATAAAAGCCTCAAGTCGGGAGCTTAGTTTCATTATGTTGGTTGGTGTAACATTCTCCTACGTCATGGTGTTCGTGTTCATTGCGAAACCAACATTGCCATCGTGTGTGGCCATGCGACTCGGACTCATGATGTGTTTTACGCTGACTTACGCTCCGATGTTAACGAAAGTTATCCGAATATACAGAATTTTCACGGCCGGTAAGAAGTCTACCAAGAGACCGGGTATGATTGGTCCAACTTCCCAGGTTGTTATAACAACCATTATAGCTGTAATTCAGGTGAGTACTTGAACTATAATATGATAATTTTAGAAACATTTGTATCATTCAGATTCTATATATGATAGTTGTCTGACAAATGATGCTTTAGATGTGTTAATTGTTTCTTGTCATGTACCAAAGCGATAGTGACCGCATGATGTGTTAATTGTTTCTTGTCATGTACCAAAGCGATAGTGACCGCATATTGTCTTTGATGTGTTCACTCTGAAGTGTTTTCCCATTATATTTAATCTTCAAAATAATATATATCATTATGTTTCCTGTGAGTAATTCCGTCACATCAACTGATAGTTTTACTAGTACGTATTTATTTAATTATACAGAACTTAGTACCATAGATCAATCCATGAATCAAGTATTATCACATTGTCCAATTATATCCCATGCTATGCTCGTATAACGGATGCTTAGAAGCTACTCTTCTTGGCTGTCATAATACTTTATGTTATATCAAGCATTAATTCGTTGATATAAAGCGTTTATTTGATATGTAAAAACTCAAATGTACCAGGTGACCAACACATTGTTCATTGTTGTAATTTGAATGTACGTCTAAAATGAATTGAGTTTAAGATGAAAGTGTAAATACAAGCTGGGAGCTGGGGGTTAAATTAAGTGTACGAACAATTACAAAATAGGGCGTTGTGAGGGCGTAGCCCAAAACGACTTCCCGATATTTCGTGGTGTACTTTTACACTTTACACGCTTTATTTTAAAGGGCGGTGGTCGTCGCGCTGCGCATGTGTGACATTTGTATTAATAAACATTGTTCTTCCTACAATACAATGAGCTCTAATGGAAATCACAAGTATGAGGTTTGACCTGGGCGCGACTTGCACTAATTACCGCCGGTGACTCCTTCGATACTTTCCAATCATCTAAAAAATACCTAATTAAAGCTTGGTAACGTCTCATTTTGTACTCGTTGATCGTCAATGTCGCCATCTTTGTTCATATGAGACCCATATATCTCTCGCGCATGCGTGGCGCGACGACTACCGCCCTTTAAGTCAAAGTACTAGGCAAGGTCAACATACCCCCTCCCCCATAAACAAAACATTGTCTAAGTTCCACCGTGTGTTGACACTGATCACTCTGAATTCTGAATTCGAGGAATTATGGAGAGTAACATCGTGTATTTTTATACTGTTAATGCAGGATATCACCTGCTAAAATGATATCGCTGATTGGCAACTCGCACTGTCAGGCACTAGGCCGATGTCAAAAGATGAATATCTTTCAATCTAAGAGTACGCATTCACTCATGTGCCTTTTGGCATTATAGTTGCAATTGCGAGTGTTTTAATGTAACAGAAAGACGGTCAGGGTTTTCTTGTCAATAAATGTAACTCGATAACATATTCACACTTATCTTCAAGAAAATGCTTTGTTTCGTTCATTCTTTAAAACACTATTTATTACTCTGGACATTAATCCGATAGAGCATGTTCAAAGCATTCCATGCTGTCTGTAAATAATAAAAGCCTAAATTGATAAATCAGAAAAGGTAAATTAATAAATTAGATATAGGACATTTCACATATTTTACAAAGAACTGGATTGCAGTGTCACTAGATTGATTTTGTTGCTGTACAAATATCTAACACATTTACAACAGGAATCACCGAGTTTGTGACGAGACTTAAAATTATGTTCAAAAATCAATAGATGTATTTTAGATAGCAATTGTCATGTAGCATTTTTAGCTGAATGTTAGATACATTCTTCACAAGAAAGTACATATGAATCATCGTGTTTTTTTAAACGGTCAATTGAAAAATTCTTCTCTGTGTACTAACATGACCCGATTGCACCTTGTTGGAAATAATTGCAAGAATAAGTCAAATAAAAAAAAAATTATACATACATCTACCTCATTTCTGTTACTGTTATTTTCCCGACGCGAAGGCACTAACGCCCATATTCGGGCTGTAATAGTTTTATTACATGCCTTTAATAACATAAAGAATACAGGGTTTATATCTTAATGTTTAAAGGTAATTCTTATTGGTAAAAAGCTACATTTTTCATAAGCAGTAACAAAGTTTTGCATGCAATCGCTTTAATCGGTAAGATTGGAGCTGCGGATGGATATGTTTACGCATCATGTTTAACGGCTCCCTTGACAATACGATAATGGCTGCAGCAGCAGTGGTTGCGGTCGATAGGATAGAGCCAACTTGATGAAATTCTTGGACCAGCAATAGAAAATGAATTACCAGACGAAGTGGACGGTTTTATAAAATCACACCAGAAGCAAAGTACCGTTAAAACCACCGAACTTGATTTCCGTCGCTGTACCGAGTGGCTAACTCAGAATACCGGAGAATTGCGGCGTCTCGTTGCTATTGGCGACTGTCCGTACGTGGCTCACTGGACCGCAAAAATCCCCGGATGTTACTATTCTAAAGTGTGTGTTTGATTGGCGGGCGGATGAAGGCATGTAATAATATATACTAAAAAATATTGAAACAATATTGGTGTAATATATCTACATAATAATGGTAAAATAATGTTAACATAAAAAATAATCACCCAATAATGATAAATTATATTAACACTAAAAAATATTGAAACAATAACAGTGAACAAATTACACAATAATGGTAAAATTATATTAACACAATAAAATAATGAAACAATAATGGTAAAATAATTACACAATAATGGTAAAATTATATTAACACAATGAAATAATTACACAATAATGATAACATATTAACACAATAAAATAATTAAAAATAATGATAACATTATATTAACACAATAAAATAATTACAAAATAATGATAACATTATATTAACACAATAAAATAATTACAAAATAATGATAACATTATATTAACACAATAAAATAATTACACAATAATGGTAAAATTATATTAACACAATAAAATAATTGCACAATAATGATAACATTATATTAACACTATAAAATATTGAAACAATAATGATAGCATTATATTAACACAATGAAATAATTACAAAATAATGATAACATTATATTAACAC